TTTGTTAAGAATCGTATGTGATATGATGAGTACATATTATCTTAGAAACATGGGTTGGACTAAAAGGTCAGCACATAGCTCTCTACTCTTAATGCGGCTCTCGACCCCTGATGTGGCTTGAGGAATTCCTTGGTGAGTACTTTAGGCGAGTCTTCGAGGACGAGAGCCTTAAATGAGTTTTCAGAAACGAGTGTTCGAGGTAAGTATGTGAAAGTGATTCCCTTCAAACGAGGAACAAGACACAAGGACAAATGTGACTTTAAAGTCAAGAACAAACATAAGTGATGGAGTCACGACCGTGAGATCCATAAGTTTGTACTTCTTGTTACATGGACTAGGACATCTACGAATGTTGGATGTCCATAGTTGATAATAATTGCTAAGAGAAATGAATCATCCTAGAGTGAGTGCTCCTTAGGGCAAAGGCTTGTTGAGGTGATTCTTCAAGATAAACTTGTTGGGAACGAGAGTTTCATATAAAAAAAAATATTAAAAATTTGTATGTTCTCATAACATATTGTGTTAATGCATTTGAAGTTTGGTGATTATCAATAAAAGATCATCAAAAGTGATTTGATTGATAATGATGAAAATAACAAATAATAGGCATAATGTCTTGCATATGGCCATATGTCTTGATAACCATATAACACCCATCAATTAAAAGATGCGCGTGACATATATAGTCAACCGGCCCTTAAAAAAAAAAAGGTATGATGTCTTGCAAATTTAGTTTGAAATATCTCAATCGCAATCAATATGGCGCAATCATCACCTATTTAGATAAATGGATAATGCCGACATGTTTGAAACGTCAAAAATATATGGGGCGGACAATCATATTTTTCTAATCCACCATATAAAAGTGAAACATAAAATTTACACTTTTTTTTTTATGAAATGCAGAAAGTGCATTAAAATAAAAGAGATGACAACCTAATACAAACTAGGTAAAAGAAGCTAATGATTCCTTTTTCAACATGAAAAAGGGATCTTATTGAAAATAAATTTGTTAAATTAAACTTATTATAAATGATATGAAACCCACTATTTCCTATTTTGAAACTGTTGAGATGCAGGGGATACCAAAGTTTTAAACAACCCGAGGGTTGGTTAATATCCCAGAGTTCCCATCCAGTTAGAGAATAGGACTTAGTAAAGATCCCATAATCATTTAGAAAAGTTTAAAATAACAAACTAAAAGAAAAAAGAAGAAACAAAAGCTAAAAATTAAAATACAATCTAACAATGATTTCCAAAAATCAGTTAAGAATATCACTGATAGATATTCCATAAGCTTTTTCCAACTTCTTAAGTCAGAATTCAATGATATTATTATGCCAAACTTTATGATAAATTGCTCCATCTTCAAGTATCTATCTGCTTTGTTGCTATCAATGGGATAATCATCTTGCATTTTAGTGAGATAAAATAGAAGAAGAACCTCTCATACCGTTCTTCTCTTTGAGTTCAGTCATCTTCCTTCTAGGTAGTTCTTTCACCGGACCCAATGCTTGAAGTTCTTTGAATAATGAGTGCTTAGAGCCGGAGGAATCACTCTTATTGGCAAAAAAAACTTTTGTCTTTCTTACGAATAGTTTTTTTAAAATTCAAACTAATTGCTGATGGAGGAGAAGTATCTCTTAATCTGCCAATACTGTTTTTTAATTCATGAACTGTTGCTGAATTAATAGTAGGATTATCATCATTTTAGATACAACCGCAGAAGATGTTGAAGGAGTTACAACTATTAATTCTGTTACAGAATTAATAGCATCCTTAACTTCCTCCTGAATATCTGAATATTTGAATTCAAAATCTGGTTTGTGAGCTCCCAACGTTTCAGCAACTTGTGTTGAATCAGTGGAGTCTGCTTCAAGTGAATCCTCTTATATACAAACTCCTACCTTAATTACTTCCACAATTTCAACAATTTTGAATTCAGGATTTTAATTCAAAATATTACTGAATTTATTTTCTGAATTAAAAGCTCCCATTAGATCAGCATCTTCAATAGAAATGTTGCAATCAGCTCCCACGGGATCAGCCATAAAAATAAGAAATTCAGAATTCAAATTCTGACCGGCCTGAATTTGCTCCACAATTAAATCTGAAGACTTGTTAGTCTCCTTAATCTCCTCCTGAATTTGTGGGATTTGAATTTGTAATTTTTCAACAGTGACTAGAAGATTGACGGAAGATCCTGCTCCTTGACTAACAATCCTTTCATCTCCTTCCTTAATTTCAGCATCAACTTGAATTGCCAAAGGATCAACACGATTTTCTGAACCAGTGAACCCGTCTCCTACAACTTCTTCCAAGGCTGCATTATTTGCATTAACACAAACATCATCTGATTTTTCCTTGACTGACATAACATTAAATTGCTTATTCTCAGGATTTATCCTTCTTTTATTTTTATATTTCACATGCATCCAAGGCCCATATGGATTATTTTCAGTATGAGAAGAACCGGAAGGGACATCTATAACAAGTTGATTTTGATTATGTGTTGTATTTGGACACAGAATCAATGTGTCCAATCTTTCCACATTTGTAACAAAATGATGATAGATTTTCATATTCAAACTTTTGAAAAAATCTACCATTAAGGCCTTCCACCCAAATACCAAAGGGGAGTTTAGAATTCAAATTTACCCGAATGCAAGCTCTAGCAAATTCCCTTCTCCCCCATCTAAACATGTTACCATCCAATAATAATGGAGTTCCAATTCTAGAAGCAATTCTAGTGATATTGGATTCATCCCAACAATGTAATGGTAAATGAGGAAGACGAACCCAAATCGGAGAAGAAATCCCATCCAAAGAATAAGGTGAGAAGGTAGGAGACCATTTGTCTAAACCTACCACAAAACCCTCTACAAACCAAGGACCTCCCTTAAGAACTTTTTCCATGGCTTCATGTGACTGAAATGAACAAAGGAGCCAATCTAGACCAAGCAATGTTATATGAAATCTTCCAGATTTCAACCATTGCTTTCTTAATTCAAATGAACACTTAGAAAAAGGATAGTTTTTTCTAAGAATTTTAACAACCAATGAGTTGCTCAAAACTTGATTATTAGAATTGACCTTTTCCATGTCCAATTTGACAACATTTGCATCTCCAAAATCTTCATGCATTTCACTAAAATTTATTTTAATGTGAGGTTTTTTAATCCACACATTAGAAATATCCAATTTTGAAGAAGTACTAGGATTTTTTATATTAACATTACCTTTGTCAATATCAATATCCTTCTTCAATATATCAGCAAAACTGCCTTCTGAAGAAGATGTCTCCTTATCATTTGCTCCAGAGATGATAGCCGACAAAGGTTTTGGCTTATCATTCAAGGATGAAATTATTTCTTTCCCTTTGTCTGAAATCGGCAATGGCTTGTGCATTGTAGTCAAACCTCCCTCTTTTATGACAAGAGGAGATTCCAAAATTCGAAAAGAGGAGATGCGTTTGAAGGAGAATCTACCTTTTGAATCCAACATAATTGGACTCGTGGTAGAAAGCAAGTTTTTGGTGTTCCGGTCATCCATCTCCAACAATGGCACCTGAATTCTTCAAAACCTTCTTCGAAATTCTTCCTACTATTGTGGAGCTGCTCTCTCTTCTCTCACGCTTCTCATCCGAAAAGATGAAACATAAAATTTACTTACATGTGAGATAAAGACATAAAATTTTCACCTCATATGATAATATTTTAAGCAAAATTTTGATAATTTCTCAAATTATGTGCACATATTGCTATATATTTTTAACTCAATTACAGCGCATTAAATATCATGCAAATACAATATGTCAATGCAATAAAAAAAGTGCAAATACATAACATAAGTGCATTAAAAATGCTTTTCGGATGCTTAAACATGAAGTCATAAAAGGCTACACATACTAAAAATTAGATTATGTAGATTTATCATATCTTTGAAAAGTATTTAACCATTCAGAAAAAAAAATGCAAACACTTCAAACTTCCACAAAATCTCTTTTTCAAACTTAGATTCAACTCTCATACAAACATACACCCCCAAACTGGTCACCATGCCTATAGAGTAAGTTGTCCCATCTTTCAAGTTTGATCCTCTATGTTACAAAGAATGGAGTCGACAAAACTTGAATACCATGAACATGATCATTTGCAAACAAACAAACAAAATCTATAAAGTTGAATACAATAAAACCCAATAAAGTAAACACCCCTATGATGGTGTGCTCATTTCACATTATAATTGTAGGAGTTTAATTTCAAAACCAACCTCTTAACTTCTCATTTCCAAAAATAAATATTTATAGCAAGCAAACATCCCAAATATGTCAGCACTAAAAGAAAATCTTAACCATAGGGAATATTATCATCAAGATGTCAAAATTTTCAAAGTATGCTATTGTGAGCCCCAAATCCTTATAAGATTATAAAATTTCAAAAAGAATATAAAATATAAAAATAATCTGGTAAATTTATTGCCTTCAAAATTTAAAGTAATAACCCATCTGCCTAGTAAAGAGTTTCTAACTAGCCGTTAAATTAAATGTGTCAATAAATGACCCGATCAATCAATCCAATTTGAAAAATTCTACTCCAGCTGACCCATTTAATAAACGGATCAAATTTAAGTTAAATTTTCCAATTGTTTATTAAAAGGTTTGGGTTCATGTTGACCTACAAACCCACTTTTAACTCGACAATAACCCATTTAATATCTTTTTTTCTTAATTTTTTTATATGTCGATATAATATTCTTATTTTCAATCAAATATCTTAAACTTTATGGTTAAAAAGTTAAATCATTCGAGCTGCTAAGGTTCGGGTTAATCTTTTAAACCCGTTTCTTAAATGGGCGTTTATAGGATTCAAGTCAGATAAATTTTGGATTGGACCTGTCAACCCGTTTTAACGCCCCTACTATTTTCTAGGTGCCTTAGCAATACATCTCCTAAACCAAAAAGTGAGGTCAACAAACACTAATTGTAGAGTATCCGAACATACACATAATTTGTTTTGATTGTTACTCATTATGCCATTAAGAATGTTACAATGTAATGAGAATAAAAGCGTCTACAATGCATTATATGATACAAGTATAGAAAATTAATGCCTTTTCCTATTCCAGTGACGTGCAAAAATAGTAAGTTTCAAAAGAATGTTGGTTGAGCCTATTGGCATTACAAGGTAATCAAATATATGCTTAGTTTGGGGTGACTTTCTTACGGTTTCTTAAAACAATTTTTCTAATATAAAATTAATTTTTTTATACTAAAAAACTGCTTTAAGAAGCAGTCCCAAACAAACCATATTCATGCAATTATAATTTCATTAAATAATAGCTCAGGTAAATCCACCTGAAGAAGCACTTTCTCTGAAGCCATTGTCAAGATTCATGAAACTGACTTCTATCCTGCAGGAAAAAGAAAAATCTCAAATGGTTTCTCTATGTTATATACCAACATTCGAGTTTGTGTCGGGCAAATTCTGCAATACTACACATTAGCACACACAAGAGAAAAGCATATCCCTGAATATAGGGTTCATTTGGGACGGCTTTTTAAATTAGCTTTCTAGTAAAAAATAAAGTCATCCCAAACGAAGCAATAATTGTAAAAGCAGATGAACTTATAAGGAAAAAGAGAGTCAAGCTACCTCACACTATAGATAATGTAAGAGGAGATCCGCTGATTTATTCTTCAACCTACAGCTCTGGCCAAGATGTACATCCCCAAAAACATACCTATATTTCCAACAAACAGATCAAAACAAATTTTTTTCTAGCATGTCATGATTCCTGAGTTCTTGCATATGATGAAAAATGCCAATAGATATCAATGGAAAAAAACAAGAACAGAGGAAACCTATATTCACAATATTCTGGCCAAGCGCAACGAGCTTTTGCATAATCCCAATAACAATCAACATCTCTCAAGGGTCCACGCTTGGCTGATAAAATAAAATTACAGTTTGGGGATTCTTTTTAGATACAAAGAAGGGGAAGGTAAATAAAGAAAAAAAATTCTCAATTTATCGAGATCAAAATTTGTATCAGAATGGGTCTCAAAGTCGTCGTATTTATTTTGAGTTGAGTGCAATATAAATTTCTTAAATATTGCACTCATCTTAATATAAATTCAAACGCTTTGAGATTTATGCTTATACAAAAAACTATTCCATATAAAAGAGAGTATCTCATACAAATAACTTCAGCAAATTTAGGATCTAAAACTGGTTGATATATCTAGCCTTATCCTTGCATTCCAGAGATAGCAATTTTGTGACTCGGAAAGTACCTTTAGTAACAAACTTTGATTTTGCGTCAGGATGGATATCATGCCACATCTGAAGCCACAACTCACGCATTAAAACTGGAGACCTAACAATGTTCCTGTGGTTTGCTATAGAATTCAATGAGGAGCGTCACTATGTCTGCCAACAAATTTAACTAAAAAAGTCGCAAATTTCAAAATGAGAACAGTGCAGAAAAGATAACATTGATGACATGCATTGTGCTTAATTCACCCTGAACCTAAAGATAGCATTTGTTACAGAATGGACATAGCCAGAACCTTGCAGCTGTACCCCGTAAGAAGGTTGTGCCATCTATGTCAGTCATTTACCGTAGATTGAATTATTCTTTCTTAGAAGTCCGTTAAGTGCTGCACTCACCACACTTGAGTAACTCTTCACATGAGGTGGAAATTGCATAAATAGAAAGTGTTAAGAACAATCAAGAGCAATTTCATTCAACAATCATCACCCTTTTCATTCTAAAAAAGGTGGTATATATAGAATTTTTGCAAAAATCAAATCAAGAGAAGAAAGAGGAGAGTGTGGACAGTTTTAGATTGGAAAATGATGGTGGAAGGGTTTTAAAACATCACTTATGGTTTCAAACTAGAAAAGGTGAGTTGTCATGCAAAGCTAGTTAAGTTAATACAAGTTGATTTCAAAGTTAGTAATTAGTAGAATTTTGTAGAAAGAAGGGAAGTGGTGGAGGGGGTGGCATGGTCATGAGGATGATGATATGGTAATTCAAAATGGTGATGTGGAGGTCAATTTTGTTGGTAGTAGCCCCCATGTGGTTAAAATAAGACAATGTGAGCTTTTTGTATTTTTTGACGAAAAAGGTGAATGCTTTAGTAGATCTTTGGCGGGTAGTTAGTTTTGGGGTGGCAATGTATTATCTCAAAAACGGTGATGTAGGAGGCTCAATTTTGTTGTAGTTTGTCCCCATGTGTTTAAAATAAGACAATGTGAGCGAAGAACATAGGTGAAATGACTAAGTAGACTCGAGCCTAAGTCCACAAGCACCTAATCCATGACATGACCCACAACACAAAGTCCAAATACAAGAGATGGGCCAAACAACTAAAAGGCTTGACATATAATAAGATTCAAAAGACAATAAACTACTACTGTTTAATACATCCAAATGTCTTCCAAGCACATAAAATCTAGACCTAATGACATACATAATTATTGACGACAATACCAACAATGAGTTTGATGCACTACAACGAATATGAGGACATGGTGATGAGGATGATGAGGTGGGCAAGTCAAAATGGTGATAAGGAGAACTATTTTCATGGTAGTCCCTACAGGGTCAAAATAGGATAACTTGGGCTAAAAAAATAGAAGAAATGGTTAAGTAGGATTGATCCCAAGTCTATAATAGACTAATCCATTGACACATGACATCCCAAACAACTAAAATGCTCAAAATATAATAAGATTCAAAAGATAAGAAAATACTAATGCCCAAAAGAAAAAATTACATAAAAAATAAAATAAACCCCAATATCCTCTAGGTACATAAGATCTAGACTTACATAATTATTGTCCACAACAACAATGATGAGTGGGATGAACTACAACAACGATACTCACACATGGTGATGAGGATGATGAGATGGGAAGTCAAAATGGTGATGCAGATGCCAATTTTGGTGGTAGTCCCCACGTGATCAAAAGGGGATAATTTGGGCAAAGAAAATAGGTGAAATGTTTAAGTAAGATGAAGCCTAAGTTCACAAACATCTAATCCAAAACTTAGTCCACAACACAGTCCACAAATAAAAAAAATATTTGCGTCCAGAATAAGATTCAAAATACAAATAAAATGAATGAACTAGAATAAGATTCAAAAGACGAGAAAAATACTAGAGTCAAAAAGAAAAAAATACATAAGAAATACAATACACCCAAATATCTTCAAAGTACACAAGATCTAGACTTTATGACATAATTATTGACGACAACAATGATGATGAGTGTGACACACTAAATCAGCTCTCTCTTACATCGGATGTCTAGATCTTGTGTGCTGGGGTTTTCATTCGCTAAATCCCAACACCTGTGTAATTAAAATCCAACTCTTAAGGTGCCCCTAAGCTTTTGTTTACTACCTTAATTTGACCATCGAATTGATGATGATAAACAAAGGAAAAATGCAGTTTGGTGCCTGATTTCTTTCAAAGAGTTTTTCAAAACTAGCTCATAAAACACAAGTCATAATTTGAGATAACTGTTCTAAGTAGACCATTTAATCTAAGCAAGCGGAAACATTAGAAAAATATACCTTTATCAATTTCCCAAACTGCTGTTCTCCTTCCTGGAATACTTTCAGAGTCCTCATAGTACGTAATATATTTTACCCGAGGGCTTCTTGACATGTTTGGAATTATATCTTCGCCATGAATATGATCCACATCAAGTTTTACTTGCAAATCAGATCCATCATGCTCCAACTGGGATACCAAAATGTAGATTTATGGTTACTTCCATCTGATCTGTGTTGCATGATTAGAACTTAATACCAGCAAAAAAAACAAATCATTAGTACGTATACAATTATGTCAAAATTTTGCTTTGATAATAACACTGTATTGATGAGCCAAATAAAGACAATTAATGAAGATAAATTGAATAGAGTAAAATATTATAAAAAGATGATTGTCCTACGGAGCAAAATAAAAGATATTCCAAATGCTTTAGTGTGCAATATCACATAACAGATTACTAGGATGATGATTGAGAAAAAAGGGAGAAACAAGATGAGCCCTTCATATGTGTGAGATTGGTCCAGAGTTCTCATGTTAAGCAACAAATTCAATTGAGCTATTTATGTTAAGTAGAGTGTAAGCACCTAGAAATTATAGTCCTCCTATCTTCTATTTTTTCATGAATCTAGGAGAAAATTAGATGTATGAAAAGTTCAAGAAGCTGACACGTTCGATATTGTTATTGTTACATAAGAGAGTAAGAATAAAAGAATGTCCATAGAAAATGAATTATCAGTAACCTTTTCCAAGATTCTATGACGGATTAATACATAATAGACAAAATCTCTTACCTCAATTCGTTCTGCTTAAAACATGGTAGTTTAACAACAAGTTGGAACAACTAACAACAATTTTGGGATTATAAACTAAGTAAGATACCTGCGGAGCCCTAGTTATGTTCACTTTAGATCCCAGCCATGTCTTGCACCAAGAGAGGGAGTTATAGGGTACCTGTATTAAAAAGCCTATCACAAGTAAGATCATGCTCATTAGTTAGGTGACATTAGGAACTGCTGATCTACCCTAATTCTCCAAGAAGAAGTAATATGATTTGCTGCTCATTACATACTGTTTCATCACCACTTGAAACTCCGGGATTTCCATTAACGGAATTACCAGACCTGAAACACATTAGAAAATTCATTTAAACGCACGTGTAGAAAATTTTTCAACTGCACATAACAAAAACTGATAACTTTATTAAAACTGATAGAACAAAAATCTAAAAAGACAAGTCCATCACACTAAAATACATTGTCTGACAAACGAATTAATTCAATTAATAAAATGACCATTTCTGTCTGTACCAGCTATCATGTCACAGGTTCAAATAGATTTGAAAGGACATCAGTTAATATTGGAAAAAACTTCTCTCATGATTTGAGAGAAAGAAAAAGAGAGAGAGATGATGAGCAACAAACAACTTATAGATAAATAGCATTTACTTTTCATCATCCCCTGCTGCAGCCTTAAACTACACTATTGGATCAGACATTCTTCTTTCTCCGCATTCTTACTAGGAAATGCATTGCTTCAGCGAAATTCAATATCAAGAATTTGGTACAAGTTTACCAGTGAGGCAGGAAGTCTTATGGTCTAAGGCATACAAATACAAATCTGAAATGAAATGCATAAATAGAAAAAATGATAGATTAAAAATTTGCAGTCCACCAACTCTTAATTTAGGAAACATTTCATCCCTTTTCATACAAAATAAAATAAAATTTAAAAAAACAAAAAACTCCCACCAAATTAAAATACAAAAATTGTCAAAATCTGAGATTTGCAAGAAAATCTGAGATTAAATGAAAGACACATTGTTTAGGATTTCAATCATAAAAAAATCAAATTGTAACAAATTTGATCAAATTTATATGCATTATTTTTAATTTTAAAAATATTAAAAAAATATCATGTTCATGCCCTACATTTTCAATAATAGTCATATCCTATGTCTGAATCCATGCATCCTAGCACAAAAATTTTATATAAATACAATTTGTAAGGATGTTGACACAAGATGTCAATCCATATAAATCCAATTTATAGGGGATCTAGGCATAAAACACTATATTGACTCAAATGAGGACGAGATACATGTCGTCTGATGCCCTGCTGAAGAGGTTGGAAATATATATATATATATATATATATGCCCCTTTCCTTATAATGAAATTTAAGGAAAACTTAGGAAGAGAATTTTCTTTTTTGTCGCATACATTCCATTATGTATAAGAATGATTATACTGATACAAATCCTAGTACACTCATATCATAAAAAAAATTAAATACACAAATATAATACATATAAGGATTCCTGGATAGAGCATGGGTCACACCAAAGTATAAAAACTCATAAAGGATATCACTATAAAGTATGATATCAACATAGATGAACGTATGTTCATAAGAATCTCTTAATTTTTAAGGAAAAATGAGGTAAAAAAAAATGTTCATAAGAATCTCAACACAAAGCTTGATGTCACCATTAGATGAATATGAGCATGATGTCAAATGTATAAATAGGGGTGTCAAAATGAGTAGATGGGTGATTCAACCTGAAATTTATCCGACATGAATATAGTCAACCCAAACCAAACTTGCTTAATAAATGGGTCAAAAATTTCATTTGTTTCCATTAAAGGCTTGAGGAGGCTTTCGAATTAAAGGCTATAGTCGGATAACAACTCTCATTTGTTTCCATTAAAGCCAAGCCAGAGATCGTGTGAGGAGTTGTGCGAGAGGAAGAACGGATGACATCGTCAAGCACGTTGTCGACATGAAGCGAACGATGCCGAACGTTCGGTAAGATCTGATTTTGATTTTTTTTTTGTTTTTCTTTATTTATAATAAAAATAATAGAATTCATAACAGAAAAATTTGTCTCGCTTTTTGTAGCAATTCTCAAAATTTGTGTCATCGTCTCGAGAAATGTGTTGATTCGCGCGCATAATTTATGTTGAGCGAATTTATAATCTCTTTTAGCTGATTTGAACGTTCTGAACGCAACGGCACAATCTGTTTTGTAATTAGACGTCATTTGGGTTACGTCCTACATCGATGTATAGTGACCCGCTCTAACTACTCGAGCAACTTTAATTGAACGAATTGACAGACACATTTGAGTATTGAGGATGTTGCTAGGACGTTGCTAATACATGGCGAAGTTTGTTTAGTAATCGGACGTCGTTCGAGTGACATCGCGTGTCATTTTTGGGTGTCAGTCACCGATTTTGACCGGTCGAGCTTCGACTGCGAGATACTTCGACTTAGGAGAATTCAACGTTCTGGTCGCAACGGCGCAATCCGTTCGACGATTGGACGTCATTTAACCTTTCAAGTGATGTGTCGCGTAGATGTGCGTGTCGCTTTTGTCTCCTACTTCGCTCCTTTACGCACGTAATGTAGGTCAACAATAATTTGCATTTAATAATAAGTCATCAAAATAATATTAATAAATTATAATTTCCTCAATATGATTAGATTAGTTTAGATTAAGCATGATTCTTGTGTCGATGTGTTTGTTGGCCTTAGAGAAGAGAATAATATGTCTTTGTCTTTAGCCACTTTGATTACAAGTATGATAGCCCTAATAGAATATTTGTAATATTCCTCAATAATAAAAGTTTTGGATAAAACCTCACATAACATTTTTTTGAATTATTGTGGCTTAATTCATTCAAAACCTATTAACTAAGACTTTTAATAAAAATGATAACGATAATAAAATAGTCTCGAGATAAATGATGCATAGCTAGAAGACTCATAGCCTATCATAATATTCAAACAACACTAAATTCAATTTAATTAAAATGCTTAAACTATTCTTTCAGTTGATCCTTACATTTACTGAATCATAGATATTGCTCTTTGTGTTATGTTTTAGGCTAACCCATGCAGATTTTTTTTTAATTATGCCACTATACTAATAAGATAAAGCATGTTTCGCTAATTTTGTGTTAGAAAATTCCACTCTTTTGGAATCAAATGGATGGTAACGTTTAACGTCTTTTAAATTATCAATCAACTTTCAAATGCAGGTAGATAATGTTGACCTTCTGAAAGTTGCATTGTATTTGTCTAAAATCATACCTTACTCTTGCTTAAATTACTTCTTTATTATGTTTTTTCATTGACTTAGCTATTATGACATATTTCTAGTGGTCATGATAATGCACCTATACGATCTCAAATCAAATCTAATGCAGAACATCTTAGAGATTAGAACTTACTAATGCAAGCCCAAAAAGTGATAAACAAAGAAGCACACGAGATAAAAATTGGCAGTCCATTAACTCTAAGTTTAGGCAAAGTTTCAACCCTTTTACATGAGAAATCAAAAAACAAAAAAAAAATTACCACAATCATTCCCAAGAAAATCTAAGGTTGAATAAAAGCAATGCAGCAATTGTGATTAATCAAAATTAAAAATTCTAGTGTATCAAATTTGACAAAATCTCACTCACACATGCAAACCTACAACTAAAAAAAAAAAGAAATAAAAGAGAAAAATCACTTAAGTGTTAACTACCTTACAAGGGTACAAGAAGACTTACACCGGAAATTACCATCAAGGCATGCACCTTACTCTTAAGAAATCACATTCAACACAGACAAACAAGTTGAATTCATATATGCCTTAGTGGTCTAATATATCATAAAAAAAAAGGAGAAAACATAAGTATTTTTGCCAAAACCGTAAGCCTAAAACTGCAACTACTCAATTCAATAATCATGAATTCCAACCCAAACAAAGATTTTTCAAGCCCAGCTTGAGCAAATATAGCAAGATATAATGCTTACTACAATAGAATTTCACATAGAAGGAAACTACCGGTGGCTGGAAACCCACTAGACATGTGCACATACATAAAATCAGCTGAACACGCATAATGAAGGTAAAATAGAGCACGTTAGGAACAATTATAAAAATAAAACATTGAATCTCCTTTACGGTGCAGGTAGCAGTAATCAACACACAAACTCCTAACTATAATACAAGACGTAAATATGCGCATAAAGAAAAAATGGGAGCCAATCTCAGCTACAGTAGATTCAGAGTAATCAGCCGCTGCACAATACAGGCACCCGAGTTCAAGCGATAGAGCAGAAAACCGAAACCAGTGGGAATCCATAATACTACAAACAGTGAAAATGTTGAAATAAGGGATTGTAACTTGTGTTGAATTAGTGAATATGACAAGTTAAATCGAAATATCAAACCAAACCCATCAACAACAAAAAACATATTCCACTTTGATAAGCACCAATATCATTAGAAAATAGAAAATAAAATAACTAAAGTTAATCAATGCGCACAAATTGTATATCCAATCAATATTGAGTTTTAGAATTGTGTCAAAAATAATTTAATAAAAAAAAATGAACTACTATCAAATGAGCAAGGTAAGAGAACTGCTCAAAATCTTTGGCAAGCACAATATAACTATCCACCTAATCAATCAGTATGCATAACACTTGCCTTGAAAATAGTGTTCCTTCATGTTCATAAACAACATCGGTTTCAATCCAATTATCAGGATAGGGTTTACCACTAGGAGCAAAATAGTATCCGACCTGTATCATAGAAGTTAAGAGTTAGTGTCTTATTTTTTAAAAAAAGTACAATTAGCAGCTGTTTTCATTCTCTATCATAAATATATCACCTGCAACAAAAAATTTAGTGTGTCAACGCAAATATTTTTTATTAACATTCTGTAACAGGTTACAGCACAGCCGCATTGCAATTATTATGTGGAGAAAAAGCAGTTCATGACCAATATTTAAAAACGTCGAAAAGGCGAGAAGCATATCAATGATTACATACCTACTAAGTTTAGAATGCTAAAATCATCAGAAGAGTTATTACTTCTAGCTTGGAATCGAGTAAATCTTAAAGAATTGAGAAAGATTTTTTTCTCAATTGGTGCCCCGATAAGAAAATACTAGCTGAAACTTTTATCCACTAAATTGGATAAACTTCTGATATATTCTTGTAATTAGACCGAACTGGAAACATCAAACAACTCCACTTCAGAACAAACATGAATCATCAATCACCTCAGTTGGAGAATTTTTGTCATCCTCAACGGATTGCATATTTTGTGATCGAGTGCAGCATAAGAAAGATAATATATTACCCTGAAGGATAAAAATATCATTTCCTTATGAACTCAATAACAAAATTTATAATTTTAACAGAAATTCCCCCATTCAATATTTGGTTGAATTAAATTTATTTTATTATGGGGTACGGATGCCCCATAGGGCAGAATGAACATTACCAACCATTGGATCATCCAAAGATGACAAGTGGGGAGGAATGGGTAAATATGAAGCAAGTGGAAGAGAAATATGACATTAGCATTGGGAAATGCCGACCATAAGGGTTAAATTACCATCAAGAAAATGAGATGGAAGACAAGCTACAAAAAATTCAATGAGTGATAATGAGAAAAAAATGTCCTAAAATGTCTGCTTAAGCAATTAAAGTTGTGTTCTTTTTCTTTAATCAATGAGATGGAAGACAAGTTACACAGAATTTAGCGGTAATCACCATCAAAGCCACCAACGACAAGTGATCGAGAACTAGCAGTATTGGGAAATAGTGGGTTGATGAGGAAAAAATGTCCTAAAATGGCTGCTTAAGAAATTAAAGATATGTTCTTTTCTTTCTATTAATGACAAGGGATTTACCGTGATTTATCTCCAAAAAAAAAAAAGAAATATATGTATAATGACGCAGCAACTAGTACTAGAAATAGCCCTATGTTGAAGTTATTGAACAAATTTACAATGGTTCAATATCTTCTATGATAATTTGTTGCGGGATGATCAAAGAGTTCTAAATTATAATAGGACTACATCAATGATCAACAAAAAATCCATATCATTTTGATATTTGAAATGCACGTGGTTATAATATTGTTGACCTTCATATAATCATGCACCTAATTATATCGAACGACAGCCAACTAACACCATATCACATTAGGTTCAAAATGGCTTAATCGCAATTGAAATCACTCGAACACAACCAATTAGAAAAATAGACTGCGCCAATGCATCCAGAACATCAAAATTACCAAAAAAATTACATCTACTCTATTCAACCAAAAAAACAAATAATAGATGTGATGTCATACAAATTGAGTTCAAAGAGCCTTAACTATGATGAAAAATTGCTTGAAAGCCAACTATTCACAACATGTACGCAGACACATCTCTTTCGTCAAAATTATGCAAAAAGAACACCCATGTTACATAGGTTATCATATTACAACAAAATATGAAATTTACTTTTGCGGGAGGCAAAGATATGTATTTTGATATGCATGAGCAAGAAAATTTTGTGAGAAATCAATACGCACATATAACTTATTTTTTTAAATGCATAAAGTTAACATAATATTAAAAGCAATATTATTATTTTAAAAAAATCCAAAATCCTTACATTCATAATTAATGTCCCACAATTCCTATAGAGTTTGTACCCCTCATGATACATGAAGTCCCATCTATCCCGTCTCCCAGCACTCTTGTTCAGGCTCCTACGTGCCCCATACCCTTCGTCGCTCTCTAAGAACTCCCATTCCTTCCTAACTCCAACGCTCACAAGCCCCATCCTTATCATCATCTCCTTCGATCGGGTTCCCTCTCACCCAATCACATCCAAGCCTCCCTGTAAACCCAGCAAATCAACAATGCAAATATATAAATTCAAGATTTAATATCATAAAAATTGAAAAAAAAAATGGAACACATAATTGGACAATGGAGAACACAACAGCACACCTACGAGCACAAACAGGACCTCTCACCAACTTCCAAAGCACTCAAAACCATGAACTATGATTGAACATAAAAATGACTAAGTGAGAGCCATTATTTAAGGGAAAATGAATGCCATTGTGATAGTCTATCTAAGCACTCACTAAGACTAAATGCATGAAAAAAATGCGCTGTTTGAATGCACAATAAGAGCCTAGAAAGCAAGCAAACACCATTGAATGCTCAACACGCACTCACAAGTGGATAGAAGGCAAATGCGGTCTTTAAAAATTCAAAATGAATCTTTACGCACATTTCAACAACATCGCGCAAACAATCCTATATCAAATTTTTTTTAAAGCATGCACGCATCATAATATAACTTTCAAACTCAAGTGTCATCGTCTCGAGAAACATGTCATTGCCTCAAGAGGCATGCAACCACCATTGGAAGTGTGTCGTTGCCTAAAGAAGTGTGTCATTGCCTTGACAACTATGACACCGCCTCAAAAAGCATTGCCTAGAGAAGCATACATATGCCTTGAGAAGTGTGCAATTCTCTAAAGAAACATGCAACCCCTTTAAAAGTGTGCAAACACCTCAAAAAGTATGCAACTACTATAATAAGCGTACGACCATTCTAAAAGCAAGTACACTATGCATGTGCGCTGAAAAGTATACAAGTGCACCATGAAGGTACTTCAAAAAGTGCGCAAGTAAATTAAAAGCATGCAAGTACACTGTGCAAATGCATTGGAAAACATAAAAGTGCATAATACATGCGCATTGAAAAGTGCACAAGTATATTGAAAAGCATGCAAATATCCAAAAAAAAAACAAGAAAATGTGCAAGACCATTAAGAAGCATGCAAGTACACCATGTAGACCCATTAAAAAGTGCACAAGTGCATTATAAACCATAAAAATGCACTACACAATGCATCCAAAAGACATGTATGCAATGTAAAAGGAAAATCATGTTAAAGTCAATACACCCATGAGTCCTTTGATAAATGTGCCAATGATCAAATTTGAACATCAAAATATTGTATAGATTAAAAAGAAATCGAACTAAAATTTTCTCATTTTGGAAAGTGTGTAATTGCTTTATAAAAACAAGTAGGCAGAGTTAACATAGTTCCAAAAAAAAGAGTAATAATAAAAATACCCCTATGATGGGTGCAGCCGACGTATATCATAATCAGAGTGATCCATTCCAAAGATCAAACTCTCAATTACAAAAATGATAATTCTCCCCACTTATGGTCTTGTTAACAACTCTAAATGTAAGGGAATACCCTCAAAGCCAAAAATAAGTTACTTCGAGCTTAAATCCTCACAAAAAAATAATACAAGAAAATTTATAAAACCTAAAAAAACTCGGGTACTAATTGGTTTAAAGCTTAAGTGCAACTAACTATCCATCCATTCACCTCACCGGCTTATCAAGGATGACAACTTTAAGTTTGATCAAAGCTCACAAAGAGCCATATCATGTCAAGTGCATTCATATAATTACTCTCAAAGATCTTAAACCAAAAAAAAAAGCATGCATACCCTAACTAGATGATTTACGACAAAATGTCACCATTGTATTACAATTAAGGCCAAATCCTAGATGTTTTCATATGACTCATCATTAGAGTTGTAAATTATAAGGTGCACCAAATGTCATAACCCAACCCAATATAACCCACAGATAGAATGGGTTATATCATATTTGATGGTGATAGACCAAGCCCACGATCTAATTTAGAGTATTTTTCAAATTTCTTTAATTATCAACAGACAATAGGGCTACTAATTAACTTCCAATAAATAAAAAATATGCTTGTCCACAATTTTACATTTCTATTCATCTTCAAAATGTATATACAACAAAATCTCTATAATACAGAACATAACTACATATAAAATAAAATATAGTAGAGAATAGTCATGACTATATAAAATCAAAAAAAAAAAAAAAAAAAAAACCTATACAGACTCAGACTATTAAAACCTACAATCTCACGCCTACTCAAATGACTCCTTACCCTTGCCCTGAGTGTAAGCCAATACAGTTCAGCAAGTCATACCCACTAATCTAAATTTTTAATATTTAACCCAATATTTATTTAACTGAATTAAAAGCAGTATTAACAAACTATTATACTTAATAGCGTAAAGCTAATAAATAACTAAAATAAAATGAAACTTGCATAAAATATAAATAAAAAAGCACTTCATATATCAAAATAGAATTGAACCGATTTCTCGTAGGCCCTTATGCCACCCAATAGAAATAGATATTAAAACTTAAGCTCTTATTACTCCATGTGCTAGCATATCAGAAAATAAGACCTTATATAGCCTAAATGCTTAGCACAATAAATATTCAAATATTTAGGCCCTTATGACTCTAAGTACTTCCAACACAACATAACTTCCTCCAAACATTAGAACTCTTTAGAATCATACACTTCAAGAAGATAATCACATATATAATTGCATTTCAACATAATAAATGAAAATAATTATAATGCAAAATATCATAGAATGTTGTACTAGCAACAAAAATATTTAACAAACTAGGTTGAAATTTCATATTTTCATAATAGCACCAAATTACTAGAGATTGTTCAGAACACTATTTTGAAGCCTTAAATATACTACAATATTTATTTTTGTCAGAAGTATTTTCCAAATTGCTAAAAATAACGCACATTCCAATCTACCCGGTGAAAATTAAAAAAAATACTAAAATGTCTATAATACTCATATTTATAACATACAGAAAGTTACACGGTGAAAGTTTAATAAATGTA